TCGTCGTGGCCACCCTTGTGGCCGGTTTCACCCCCCTGGTCAGTGCTTTGCTCAGCTCACTGACACGGTTCGTTTGGTCTACGGGGTTGGTGCTCCTGCCCCTGACTGGCTGCCTCTTGTTCAGCGCTACGGCTCCGCTCTGTGGGGCATGTCTGCTGAGCAGTTAGTTGATCTGATTGGTACTCCCCATGCTATGTATGCTGTTGTTGACTCTAGTGTTTCTGACTCTGCTTACTCTGGTGTTGTTAGCTTAGGTGCTAGCCTTGCTCAGTTGCCTGTTGCTAGTGTAGGTTCTTGTGTAGACTCTAGTCCAGCGGCTACCTCAGAGGACGGTTCGCTGTCGTTCACGCTGGACTCTGGAGCCTCTCACTGCTTCTTTCGTGACAGCACGACACTTACGCCTCTTCCTGCGCCTGTTTCTGTGGCGCTGGCTGATCCCACTTCGGGACCAGTCACTGCGCGTCACACTACCACCTTGCCGTGTCCGGCTGCTCCTTCTGGGTCTCTCACTGGGTTTCACGTCCCCTCGTTCTCCCGGAACTTGGTGGGCGTGCGACCCCTCGTGAGTCAGCACGTGGGTGTGTGGTTTGAGCCTTCTGGAGAGACTGCGGTGTGTGTTGACGGGGACTCTTACCAGCCCCTCGCCACTTTTGCTGCTGAGCCGGGCTCCGGTCTCTACACTCTTCACACTGGCCCGCGCGCTCAGCAGCGACTGCAGCAGCAGCAGCAGCCGCACCAGCAGCAGCAGCAGCAGCCGCAGCAGCAGCAGCAGCGCCAGCAGCAGCAGCCGCAGCCACAGCGGCCGCCGTCGCAGCGGCCACTCCTCCCAGTTCCTGTCCCTCCCCCTAGTCTCCTCCCTGCGTCTCACCAGGTGGTTCCGTCCCCTCAGGTTGTCGCGTCCAGTCCAGTCGCTGCGTCTTGCTCCTGTCGGTCGCTTGCCCACCCCACCGTTCTGTGGCACCACCGGATGGGACACCCTTCTCTTCCACGTCTGCGTGCTATGTCTAGTCAGCGTCTGGTCTTAGGTCTCCCGCGTGTCTTGCCGTCGCTGCCGCCGTCTCTTGCACCACCGTGCGGTCCTTGCGTCGAGGGTAGGCTGCGTGCCACCCCTCACTCCTCCTCCCTTCGTCCGGCCACCGAGCCTTTTGAGACGCTGCACTTGGACGTCTGGGGCCCCTCTCCTCGCCCTGGCCCTGAGCGTGAGCGTTTCTTTTTGGTGGTCGTTGACGACTACTCCCGCTACACCACAGTGTTCCCCCTGGCGAGGAAGTCTGAGGTGACTTCTACGCTGATCAGGTGGTTGCTTACCACCCAGGACACTCGTGGTCGTCGTGTCAGCTGTCTCCACTCCGACCGCGGGGGCGAGTTTCGCTCCGGCATTCTCGCTGGATTCTGTCGCGAACAGGGCATTCGTCAGTCCTGGACGCTTCCGGAGTCCCCACAGCAGAATGGGGTTGCTGAGCGTCGCATAGGCCTGGTCATGGAGATTGCCCGCACCTCCTTGACTCACGCCCGTGCCCCCCATTTCCTGTGGCCATACGCAGTCAGGTACGCCGCGCACCAGCTGAACCTCTGGCCACGCGTCTCTCGGCCGGAGGCTTCACCGACCAGTCTTTGGACAGGGTCCCCTGGTGTCGCGTCGAGGTTTCGTGTCTGGGGGTGCTTGGCTCTTGTCCGCGACACCTCCGCGGACAAGCTCTCGCCTCGCGCCGTTCCTTGTGTCTTCCTTGGTTTCCCTGAGGACTCCTCTGACTTTACCTTTTACCACCCTCCCTCTCACCGGTTCTTTGACTCCCGTGACGTCCGTTTCGAGGAGTCCACCCCGTACTACGTCAGGTACCCCAGTCGAGGTCTCCCGGTTCCTCCTCCCCCCCTCTTCCTGACAGCCGCTCCCCCGCCTGCTCCCCCGGTACAGCCTCCCCCCCCTGGTCCAGCCCCGTCTGGTGTGTCTCAGGCTAGCCCTCCCCCTTCGGTAGCCCCCCCTGTACAGCCTCCCTCCCCACAGTCTTCCTCACCGCCTCCTGTAGGTGCTCCCTCTCGGGAGGTTGGTCCTACGACTGTCCCTGTACAGGTCTCTGGTTCTGGGGGTGCTGGAGTTGGAGCTGAGCCGCGGGTTGCAGAGGACTCTTCTCCTCCGGGGGCTGGTACTGGTCGTGCGGAGTCTGGGGGTGCTGGTGCTGCGTCTGGGGGTGAGGGTGTTCCTTCGGTTTCTGGAGAGCCTGGGTCTGGAGCTGGTGTTGGTGCTGCCTCTGGGGGTGGTGTGCTTGGTGCTTCGGAGGTCGACTCTGGGGCTGCCGCTGCCCCGGACACTACTCCTTCCCCCCACCCCTACCCGACCAGGTTCCAGGCTCGTGTTCGTCGTGCTCGTGAGGAGCAGCTGGAGTTGGAGAGAGAGGAGAGAGAGTTGCAGCGGCTCGAGGAGCAGGAGCGACAGCAGCAGGAGCAGCAGCAGGAGCAGCAGCAGGGGCAGCAGCCGCTGGAGCAGCAGCAGCCGCAGCAGCAGCAGCTGCCGTCTCCTCCTCCTGTCTCGGGTCTTCGGACCCTTGGTCTCCCCTCTCCCTCTCCTTCCTCCTCCCCCTCTCCTCCCGTCTCTGGTCCTCCGCTTCCTCCTCCTGACCCCTCTCCCGCTGTTTTCCCTCGTTCTCAGTCTTCGTTGTCCCCTCCTCCTTCTCAGACTTGGGCCTCTCGTCGCTCCCCTCGTGCTCGTCCCTCGTCTCCTGTTCCCTTCACTGACCTTCGTACTGCCTTACTTCGTTCTAGTCCACCTCGTCCGTCTCCGTCTGTGCTTCCGTCTCCTCCTGAGTCGGCTCTCACTGCGTCGCTCCCTACTCCTGTCACTGACTACTACCGCACGTACCGTCCTCTTCTCTCTCGTGTTCTCGCCTCACTTGTTACTCACCCTCGTGCCTCTGTGTCCTCTGTGTCCGCTCTTACTGCCGCAGTCACTGAGTTTGCCTCTACCCGCCGCCTTGACTTCGCCACCGCTCTTGTGGCTGCTCCTCCTTCCAGTCCTCTGGCCGTCGGGGGTGTGTCTGCCCTTGGCTGTGACGCCCTAGAGGACAGGCAGTTTGAGCTAGAGTTCCTGGCCGCCGCTTCCCCTCATCTCTGTGCCATGCTCCTCGCCCCTGAGGGTGACCCCGACGCCCTTGACATTCCGACTCCTCGCACTTACGCTGAGGCAGTGTCAGGGCCTTGGGCCTCTCAGTGGAGAGCTGCCATGGACGCAGAGATGGCCTCCTACAGATCCACAGGCACCTACGTCGATGAGGTTCCCCCTCCGGGGGCGAACGTAGTCGACGGCATGTGGATCTACAGGGTGAAGCGGCCACCGGGATCTCCTCCGGTCTTCAAGGCGCGCTACGTGGCTAGAGGTTTTAGTCAGCGCGAGGGAGTTGACTTCTTTCAGACCTTCGCGCCCACCCCGAAGATGACCACTCTTCGGGTGTTACTACACGTAGCAGCACAGAGAGACTACGAGTTACACTCTCTCGACTTCTCTACTGCTTTCCTTCAGGGCAGTCTTCACGAGGAGGTCTGGTTGCGTCGTCCCTCTGCCTTCACTGGCTCTTTCCCTCCTGGGACCCAGTGGAGGCTGAGGCGACCGGTTTACGGTCTTCGTCAGGCTCCTCGTGAGTGGCACGACACCCTGCGTTCTACCCTGTCTGACCTTGGGTTCCAGCCGTCTTCTGCTGACCCGTCGCTGTTCGTTCGTCGTGGCACCACACCTTTCTTTGTTCTGGTCTACGTTGACGACCTTGTTTTCGCCACCCCTGACAGGGTTGCTTTGGCACACGTGAAGTCCGAACTGCAGAAGAGACACACCTGCACTGATCTTGGTGAGCTGCGCCACTACCTTGGCCTGCAGATCACCAGGGACAGAGCTGCTCGCACCATTACACTTTCACAGTCGCACATGGTGCAGCAGGTCCTTCAGCGGTTCGGGCTTCAGCACTCCACAGTACAGCGCACACCTCTTGCTGTTGACCACAGACTCACTGGACCCTTTCCTGACGAGCCGTTCGAGCCTAGTGGTCCCTACGCAGAGCTTGTGGGTTGCCTCATGTACCTGATGACTTGTACTCGCCCAGACCTCGCCTTCCCTCTCAGCGTTCTTGCGCGCTTTGTTGCGCCAGGGAGACACCGTCCTGTTCACTGGACAGCAGCTGTGAGGGTGGCGAAGTACCTAGCGACGACGTCAGGCGTGGGGCTAGTTCTTGGAGGGCAGCAGTCTGTCGTACTTACTGGTCACTGTGACTCCTCTTACGCTGACGACGCTGAGACTCACAGGTCTACTCACGTCACTGGACCTCTGATACGAACCCTAAGCCATTTCGCAAGCTCACGCTTCCCGCGAAATGCACCGTGTCTTAGGCGCCGCAAAATAAACTATGGCTCTGTGGGTGTTTTACAGTAAGCGTGAGATGCGCTATAATGACATTGGCTTGCAGAGGTTGGCTGAAGTTACCTTTTTAGTGATGACAGAGAGCGCTCTGGGAGTGGAGATATTGGCGAGGAGGCATGTCCTTCAGTTTACTGGCAAGCCATAAACTTTCGACCAGGGAGTGAGGTGAGGGGTTGGGTTCGAACTTGTCGCTGTGTCCGAAGTCCGAGAGGCCCTGTTATTTGGTTACCACGGTGTACCTTTTATAAAGTTTTGGCCTTTCCCCTGCCAAATGTATACCGCTGCTTTAACATCCTCGGAAATCGCAGAGAATACCATGGAAATGTTATGTATACATGGGCTTCAGAACAGCTTATCAAATATTTTCTAGCAATAAAGTTGAATCTTTATTTTCTACCAGTTGGATTCGTGCAGTAGTTGATTCGCACAGCAGCACACAAAAAACAAGTATTAATGCTTGACTTCCACCATCCCTTGCCAGAACAAAAGAGCTTCTCTTGCCCAGCCCTACCCTTTTTAGTGAACGATACAGAAAAGAAAAACACACATTCCTCATCCGCATCACATTTCAGTTGGCAACAACACTGTACTAAACACTTCACTCCGACACGCCGAGCCACTTGGTGAAGTTTTCGAATTCGAGGTAGTCCGAGTCTGAAATCATGGTCTGGTACCACTGCTCTCCCGCCTTCTTCGCATCCTCCGACTGCAGAGAGCAAGAGAGGGAGAGAGAGGGGCACACACACATCGCATGCCCACACCCACGCCGAAGCATCAAGCAGGAAAAGGGACCAGGGACCAAGGGGACCACAGGCACACCAAAAGAGCAACCAGGGAAAAAAACCCAGGAGAAATGGGTCAGGGGGCAGAAGGATACAAGGTTGGAGGAAGCTACCAGTGGAAGCTACCAGTGGGAACATACATGTGGTCAAGCCAAAAACAACCAAGTCAACCATGCCAACCATGCCAACTTGTGCTTCATGATCAAAACAGTATCAAAAGTTCAATCAGGTCAACCAAGTCAACCACGCCACATGCCTGTCGTGCAGGCCAGCTCCCTGCCCCTCACGTCTTAAAGCCCTTGAGCAGGCTCGCAGCTGCTGCAGCAGGGAGCGGCGCACTAGCACTGCGCAGCCTACAACAGCTTGAGCTTCCATCGCCATAACCACACACATTCCATCTCCACGACCCAGACAAAGAAGGCGAACCCAAGTCAACCTAATTACTCAAGTCAACCCAAGTCAACCCAAATCACCCCATCAACCCAGTCAACCCATCACTCACCTCGCGGGCCTTCTTGGCCTTGGGCTGGGCAGCAGCCTCGGCGGCCTGCTTGCATTTATCCCAGTCAACCCAAGACAACCAGAGTCAACCCAAGTCAACCAGAGTCAACCAAGTCAGCCCAGCCAACCCTCACAAACTCACCTCGCGGGCCTTCTTGGCCTTGGGCTGGGCGGCAGCCTCGGCGGCCTGCTTGCGCTTCTCCGCGGCGAAGGGGTTGAGCACGGCCATGGCAGTGCGGTTCTTCAAAGGGTTGCGCTTCAGACGGTGCAGCGGCTTGGGGGCGGGCCTCTTGGGCCGGCACACACTCTGCGGAGGTGGGGGGGGGCGGAAGGGGCAGGGGGGACAGGGAGAGTCGACACGTCAGGATAAGGCAGGAGTAGCCACAGCCTTTGGCTAGCAGACACATTGTTGTGTGAGTGGGAGTCAAGGGAAGGACGTGGGGCAGGAGGGGTTGAGCAGGCAGGGGAGCAGGAGAGGGTGGGTTGAGAACGGCCATGGCGGTGCGGTTCTTCAAAGGGTTGCGCTTCAGACGGTGCAGCGGCTTCGGCGGCCGGCACACGTTCTGCAGGGACGAGCAGGGGGGAGGGGGGGAGAGGGGGGAAGTGGGGAGCGGAGAGTGGTGGCGAGAGCACAAGCAGATGGGTTGCGGTTGAGAAGGTGTAGCTGCCCGGGGCGGTGCGGCAGGTGGACGCTGGCAAGGGGGGAGGGCTGGGTGTGGCGCACTGGGCGAGTGACGCGTGGGGAGAGTGACGCGTGGGGAGAGTGACGCGCGGGGAGAGTGGGCGCGGGGAGAGTGGGCGCGGGGAGAGTGTCATGCCGGCAGAGCGGGGTGGGGAGTGGGGATAGTGGGGAGAGCGGGGCGCGTGCAGAGGGGAGCATGGGCGGGGGGAGGCGGAGGGATGGGTGTATACAATACAAATATAATACGAACGTAAACATAGGTAGAAAATGACGATTGCTTTCCCCACGCGCTCCCCCTGTCCCCCTTCGCTCTTCCCACCTGCACTCGGCTGCCCACCTGCACTGGGTAGCTGTTGATATAGCGCGTGATGTCCGTATTGACAATGGTACCCGCGACAACGACCCAAACAGCCCCTCCCTTAATCCCCCTCGCCCCCCGCTCGGCGACCCCTCGCGCCTACCCTCCCCCCTCCCTCCCCCTCCCACTCTGCGCACCTGCACTTGGTCGCTGTTGATGATGCGCGTGATGTGCGAGTTCACGATGGCACCTGCGACCCCGAACGACCCAGACAGCCCCTGGTCCCCCTTCCCCCTACCTTCCCCGTCCCTTTCACCCTTCCCCTTTCCCCCTTCCCCCTTCCCCGCCCTCACCTGCACTTGGTCGCTGTTCATGATGCGCGTGATGTCGCTTTTCACGATGGCAGCGCGCGTGATGGCAAGGCAAGGCCCTACCCACCTCCCTCCCCAGCCCACAGACACAACCTTCATACCCACCCCCCCTACCTGCACTTGGTCGCTGTTGATGATGCGCGTGATGTCGCTGTTCACGATGGCGGCAACGACCCTAAACGACCCAAACAACGCCAGCCCCCCCTCGCTCCTATCCTAGCACCCCCCACCCCTTCCCCTCCCCGACACCCCCTCACCTGCACTTGGTCGCTGTTGATGATGCGCGTTATGTCGCTGTTCACGATGGCGGCTGGGAGAACGACCCGAACTACCCCTACCCTACCCTAACCCCCCCCTCGCCCCTACGCCCCTTGCCCCTTCCTTCCGCGCACCTGCACTTCGTCGCTGTTAATGATGCGCGTGATGTCGCTGTTCACGATGGCGGCGCGCGGCAGCAGGAAGTCGCGCTTCAGCGTGGGCGCCTGCGAGAAGGACCCGAAGAGCCCCTCGAGCTTGTCGAACGCGCTCTGCGTCCAGATCACGAAGCGACCGACGCGGCCGCCGGGGGCCAGGTCGAGGACACTGAGCTTCTCGACTGCGACCACCTGCTTGCGCGGAGGTCACGGGCAGTGGAACGACGGAATGGGGGAGGGGAGAGAAAGGGGGGAAGGAGAGGGGGATCGGGGAGGGAGGGGAGGGAGGGGTGGGAGAATAAGGGGAGAAAGGGGGGAAGAAGCTTCAGGGTGGGCGCCTGCGAGAAAGACCCGAAGAGCCCCTCGAGCTTGTCGAACGCGCTTTGCGTCCAGATCACGAAGCGACCGACGCGACCTCCTGGTGCGAGGTCAAGCACGCTCAGCTTCTCGACCGCCACCACCTGTTGATTGGGGCGCACAGCGGGAGGGACGGGGGCGGGGGGCGACGGGAAGAGTAGAGGGAAGCAGGGGAGAGGAGACGAGGAGAAGAGGGGAAAGGGAAGGAGAGAAGGAGGGGGGGAGGGTAGGAGGGAAGGAGAGGAGGTAGGAGGGTACGCGGAACGAGGGGAGCAGGGTAGTAGGGTGGGAGGGAGAGAGGGTAGGAGGCGAGGAGGGTAGGCGGGGAGGAGGGGAGGAGGGGAGGAGGGTAGGCGGGGAGGAGGGGAGGAGGGCGAGGGATCAGCCAATTGCACTTGTCACCCTACCTGCGACGATTTTTATCTTTCGCAACTGCTCTAGCGCTCACCTATTTTGGAGCTCACTCGCTCTTGCACTCACTCGAGTTCGCCCTCACCTGCACGCCGGGAATGTTGCGGAAGGTCTTGGTGAGCTTGGCGCCGTCCGTGCCGTACACGATGAGCGGGCCCTTCTTGCTGAGGTACCGCCGGTTGCGCATCTTGCCCACGCCGGGCCGGATCATCCCCCCATCACCTGCTCTTGCTCTCACCGTTCCTGCTCTCACCCGTCTTGCTCTCACCCGCTCGCTTTGAAAAGGTCCCAAACCCTACAGCCCGTCGCGTCCAAGCTTCTCTCCCCTCTCCCCCACCTGCTCTAGCGCTCCCCCGGTCTCGCCCTCACCTGAACACCGGGGATGTTGCGGAAGGCCTTGGTGAGCTTGGCGCCGTCGGTGCCGTACACGATGAGCGGGCCCTTCTTGCTGAGGTACCGCCGGTTGCGCATCTTGCCCACGCCGGGCCGGATCTTCTTGCTCGCGATCACCTTCGCCACGTCATCGTACGCGCCGATGCGCTTCAGCGCCTTCAGCGCGGAGGAAGTCTTCTCCACCGCCTCGATCTCGTTGCCCACCACCAGCGGCAGCTCCGGCGCCTGATGCGCGCGGGAGGAAGCGGGGGAAGAGGGGGGAGTGGGGGGGAAGGACGAGGGGGGAGTGGAGGGGACAGAGGGGACGGGAGGACAGAGGGGAAGGAGGAGGGGGAGGGGGAGCAGGGAGGCATGGGGGATGGGTATGAAGGGGTTGAGAATGGGCGGATCTTCTTGCTCGAGATCACCTTCGCCACGTCATCGTACGCGCCGATGCGCTTATGCGCCTTCAGCGCGGACGACGTCTTCTCCACCGCCTCGATCTCGTTGCCTACCACCAGCGGCAGCTCCGGCGCCTGCGGGGGAGCAAGGGGGCATGGAGGGGGAATGGAGGGGCCATGGAGGGGGGGAGGAGGGGGCTTGGAGGGGGGGAGGAGGGGGCATGGAGGGGGGGAGGAGGGGCATGGAGGGGGGGAGGAGGGGGGCACGGGGGGACGGGAGGAGTGGGGAGAGTGGAGGGGACAGAGGGGACAGAACGAAAGAGGGGGAGGGGAGAGGGTTGGGGAGCGCAGACGAAGCCTTCTCGATCGCCTCAATCTCGTTGCCCACCACCAGCGGCAGCTCCGGCGCCTGATGCGCACGGGAGAGAAACAGGGGGAAGGGGCGGGGCGGAGGGGGGTGAAGGAGGGGGAGACACGGGGGAGCGGGGGGACAGGGGGATATGCATGGCGAAGGGCAGAGGGAAAAAGGGGAAGGAAGAGGGGGAACAGATATGAGGAGCAGGGAGGAAACGGGGACAGGGAGGAGAGAGAGAGAGAGAGAGAGAGAGAGAGAGAGAGAGAGAGAGAGAGAGAGAGAGAGAGAGAGAGAGAGAGAGAGAGAGAGAGAGAGAGAGAGAGAGAGAGAGAGAGAGAGAGAGAGAGAGAGAGAGAGAGAGAGAGAGGAGAGAGAGAGAGAGAGAGAGAGAGAGAGCGAGAGAGAGAGAGAGAGAGGAGAGAAGAGCGGGGAGAGCGGGCACAGATGAGGCGATGATGGTGGGGAGATGGAGAAGATGAGGGAAAACGCAAGTGCGTACTGTATTTCTGACACCAGAGCGTGTTTCATTACGTGCCTGGCTGACGTCATTGCGTACCTTGCTGACGGCGTGGCCGTGCGCCTGGACGAGCGCGGGCACGGCGGAGGCGGCAATGGCGGAGGCGACCGCATGGCGGCGCATCTTGATGGGGACCTGCGCGGACACGCGGGGGAATGGGGGAGTGGGGCCGAGGGGTTACCCGGGAAGGGAAGAAGGGGTTACGAGTGTTAAAGGCCAACGTTGAAGGCGTAAGATTGACACAGATGAACATGTTGATAAAGGCCAAGGTGCTTAAGCCAACAAAATCTTCTGCCGACCTGACGGGGAATGCTAGCCAAGGGCATGAACGCGCGGGTCGATAGCTTAAGCTACCGTGCTGACGATCGATATCAGAGCTACAACGGCGTTTGTCGCATACACAACGAGCATTTAGAAGCGACCTTACTGTATCAAATAGTAAAAACTAGGGGCGTGATTTGAGTCAAGCTAGATGACAGCGTGTGACGACCCTCGCCCATGAGCACAGCGCGCATTCCGCGCATTCTGTGAGGAGGAGGAAAGCCGCAGGGGAGGGGTGAGCCTAGCCACGACAGAACACTCCGGAGCAAAGGCTCGCGTTCCCTGCTTAATTTCATCCGCTCATGACGCAGCGATGACCGAGCCCGGTCAACCTCCCCAATGGCTCCATCGTCCAGGAGGCCGGGTGTAGATCCGCGCAACAGGATTTTCAGCATCGCTTGTACCGCGTCCAACAGACCTGCTTCGTGCGTTTGGTCAAACCATCTCCTGCGATCTTCGTGGAGATCCGTGCAATCTACACCTAGCCCTGATACCCAGGTTAAAGATGCTCGTAGCTCCAGAAACCTAGCGCGATCGCAAGCCCGTAATCGCCCGGAAAGAAAACCGGTCCTGACATTGAGGAATTCGCATGCCTCACAAGCTCACGAGCCTAATGTAGGCACCACTTAACTAACTATATCGAAACTTCTGCCATAGCGGGGAAAGAGTCAGAATATCCACCTTGCGGTGCCAGCGGCGCCAGATGCGGAGCGGCGCGAACAGGTGACCGCCGCGGCACATGTTACCGAAGGCTCCTTGTCCCGCGCGGTGCGTACCGCCGCCGGGAACGCGGGGAATACGCGACACGGCGCGACCGGTACCCCAGGACTCGGCGGACGTCTGGTGGCCGGCCTTGGTGCTGACGGCGTACGGCTGACGCTTGTTCATCGAAACCATCGCGTGCACGAACTTAACGACATCGCTGCGGATCGGCGCGAGGAACACGGCGGGAAGCGGCGCCTGCTGCGGCGCGCCGGCCTCGTCGTACGGCTGAACTGTCACGAGCGGACGAGCCGCTGCTGTCGCCATGGCTGCTGCTGGGTATGCTAGTGCGGGTGGATGGGTGCGCGCTACTGATGGTGCTGCTAAGTGTTACCCTACTCGGTCCCACTCCGCGAGAGAAGGGAAGGAAAGAGAGAGACTAAGGACCGAGGAGCGGATTTGAGTTAGGGTTGCGATTGCGAGACGGGCAAGGCAGGAGAGCGGGGAGGGAAGGGGGGGAAAGAGGGTTGTTTGTGGGGGAGGGAGGGAGGGGAGGGGAAGTGCGGGGACGGGGGACGACGGGGCGCGGAAGAAAGTGAGGTGTGGGGTGGAGTAGGGAAGGCGGGGAAAGGGGATCGGGGGAACAATCTAGGGCGGGTCGGTAGGCGGGAGAGAGGGAATTTCTGGCTTTGTCCCTTCCGCCTTGCTTGACATCCCAAATGATGGTGGAAAGCCACCTATGAATCGTCTTTGAGCTCATCGACTACGAAAATATGCTCGCCTGGATCAGCAGTTACGCCGCGGCTATCTATATTTATATATTTGCAACACTTGTTTTTCCCCATTCTCAAATCTGAAGTGCAATAGCTGTGGGGAATATATCACGACAAAATAGTGAGACAACATTCCTTCATGCATGCCTTTGAAAAAATAGACAATACTAATTAAAAATATTTTGTCATATTTTGAGCTTGCTCTGACTTTTATCTGGATAAAACTATATTTTTTTTATCAGCATCTGATGGTTTTACGTAATGACTGAACTTGAAAGTGATGGCCCCATGCTGATGTTTTCGTACTTCTACAAGAATGTATGTAGAACGCAAACGGGTGCCTACATTGTGGTAATATGGGCATGTTCCTACGGCCCCTTATCAGGCCAACCTCTTATCAGGCTCGCGTCACAACACACTGAAATTTCCCTAAACCCAAAAACCTTCGCGAATTTTACCAGGCAAAAATGCGAAGCTTGTCAAATGATATATATGTGTGATATATATTGGTAGGCTGTAGTGGGGTAGATGTTATAGGGGATAACTCCTTAGGGTTGTGTTATTTGTACCATTTCTCTCGATAGTGAACCTCACCTTGCCTAGCTATCTCAACATGGCATCTAGAGCAATGGTCCTAAGGACCTAAGATTGGGGCCCACCTACTCATGAGTTACTTTCCCTACAGCTATACCTACGTGCCTACCTTGCCTGCTGCCCGCGCGCGCCTCGGCTGCATGCGCGCGTGCATTTTTTTTTAGCGCGCCCCGCTGCCTTAGCCGCCCGCGTGCTCGCTGCTGTCACGCGCAGCTCGGCGCCGCGCGCAGCCCGCCGCCACGCGCGACCCGCCGCCGCGTGCAGCCAGTAGCCACGCGCAGCCCGCAGCCGCGCGCAGCCCGTCGCCGCGCGCAGCCCGCAGCCGCGCGCAGCCCGTCGCCGCGCGCAGCCAGCTGCCACGCACAGCCCGCAGCCGCGCGCAGCCCGCTGCCGCGCGCAGCCCGCAGCAGCGCGTGCCCTGCCCTGCCTGTGCGCCACTGCCTCGACCTGAGCGCTTAGCCGCCCGTGAGTCGTGCGCTTGCCTGCCTTACGCGCGGCCTGTCACAGAACTGCGTGCTTCCTTACCTGCTACAGTTGCCTGCTGCCTGAGCCTGCTGCCTGAACCTGCAGTCTTTGCCTGCTGCCTGTCGTACCCTTCTGGCCAGATCCACCCCCACTCCCACCTCCACCGCCACTGCCGCTGCCTCCTCCCCCACCACCGCCGCCGCCGCCTCCACCGCCCCCGGTCCTGCCGCCACCCCACCCACCGCCTCCACCCCCACGGCCACCCCCACCACCTCCACCACCCCCGCCGCCTCCACCACCGCTCCCTCCACCGCCACCTCCGCCACCCCTGCCACCCTTGCCGCCCCTGCCACCACCACGCTTCCCACCAGGAGCGGAAGCCGCTGCGACCTTCTCCGCACCGAGGAAGTCGACAGCAGTAGCAGCAGAGGCGTAGGAGGGGTCAAGAGGGGAGGGGGAGCACCCCTCAAAGAGGGGAGTGCGGGGAGTGCCACGAGCAGCACCGACAGCGAGGATGTTCTTCTCTGCTGCGACCAGCTGCTGCTCGAAGTCGTCCAGAGTGATAGTTGGAGGATCCTTGGCAAGGAAGTAATCCCTGACAGAGCGAAGAGTGTCAGGGAGGCGGGTGACGAGGATGTAGAGGGTGAAGTACAGCGGGGGGGTGTTCGTGGCGAGGAACTCGTTGGTAAGAGCGGCTCGAAAGCGGGCGTCACTAGCGCGGAGGTGAGTGATAAGGTCGGCAGCAGTGTGAAACGAGGCTAAGTCTGGGAACAGGTAAGGCAGGATGAGACTACCAACGGTGGCTGTGGTCGGGGCGGAATAGCGGGCAACGACAGCATCATACAGCGTCTTAGCAGTCTTAAGCTGGTTGAAATGCGCGCGCTCAGAGATCGGTAGGTGATTGCGAATAACAAGGCGCGCGACAGCATCGCGGAGCTCCCACTGTGCTCGTTCAGGGGCAGGAGCAGTCTCAGCAGGAGTAGGGACAGTGCCGGTCACATAGGCTAGCAGTGACACTCCGTCTGCGACGTCAGTCATAAGGTAAAGGCGCAGGTCACTAAGCCAGGTGTCAAACTCGATGGGGCGGCCGTCAGGCTCAAAGGCGAGAACAGTAAGGGTCGCCATGGTTGTAGCGCAGGCAAAAGTAGCAGGCTCAGGCAGCAGGCTCAGGCAGCAGGCTCAGGTAGCAGGCTCAGGCAGCAGGCTCAGGCAGCAGGCTCAGGCAGCAGGCAAAGACTGCAGGTTCAGGCAGCAGGCTCAGGCAGCAGGCAACTGTAGCAGGTAAGGAAGCACGCAGTTCTGTGACAGGCCGCGCGTAAGGCAGGCAAGCGCACGACTCACGGGCGGCTAAGCGCTCAGGTCGAGGCAGTGGCGCACAGGCAGGGCAGGGCACGCGCTGCTGCGGGCTGCGCGCGGCAGCGGGCTGCGCGCAGATGCCGTGCCTGCGCGTGAGGAGCCTGGCGGTGCTGAGCTTGGGGGTGTCGAGTCTGAGGGTGCTGTGCCTGCGCGTGAGGAGCCTGGAGGTGCTGAGCTTGCGGGTGCCGAGTCTGCGGGTACTGAGCCTACGCGTGAGGAGCCTGGGGGTGCTGGCGCTGGAGGTTCTGGAGCAGCTGGGGGTGCTGGCGCTGAGGGTTCTGAGTCTGCTGTTGCGCGGTCTCCTTGGAGTAGCCGCCTTCGTCCACGTGTGCCTCTCACCCCACAGCAGCTGCAGGACTGGTACGGTCACCGTCAGCGTCGCGCTGCTGGAGCTAGGAGTGGTGCTGGACCTTTGTCTACTGGAGGTGCTGGAGTCGCTGGTTCTGGAGGTACTCGTACTGGAGACACTGAGGCTGGAGACCCTGGGACTGGGGGTGCTGGTTCTGGGGGTGCTACTGCTGGAGACACAGGGGCTGGAGACCCTGGGACTGGAGGTGACGACTCTGGGACTGGAGCTTCTGGAGCTGCTGGAGGTTCTGGAGCTGCTGGAGGTACTGGAGCTGCTGGGGGTACTGGAGCTGCTGGAGCTGCCGGTACTGATGCAGCTGCGCCGACACGACTGTTCTTCGCTCCGCCGTCTCCGTCGTCTCTGCCGCCGTCTGACTCTGTTCTTCGTCAGGTTCTTACTCTCCCGTCGTCTACTGGTCTTCCGTTACAGCCTGGCTCACCGCTGCCTGCTCCTTCTCCTTACACTGAGCAGACTGGTAGTCCTGCTGAGCGTCGTGAGCCTGTGTCGCGTCCTGTCTCGCCTGCTCGTCCCGGTCGTCGTGTTCCTCGTTCGCGTCAGCAGGCTGTCCCCAGCACACACCTCGTAGTTCGTCGTCCTTCCTCTGCTCTGCAGCCTGTTCCTCTTCCGTCTCCCCCTGCGTCCTCTCTACCTGACGTTCCAGACCCTGAGTCTGACCGGTTTCGTGCTGAGCACCCTACTGTCACGCGTCTGTTAGAGGTCCACTGGTGATCCCCGATTGATCCTAGGGAAGGGTTACAGGCACGGCGGCCTGGGGGGTTATGGGCGCACTCACCCGCTACATAAACAAGCCCTTTTATCCCAGTGGTTAGTGGCTGGGATTCTGACATGTTATCAGAGCGAAGGTCTCGGGTTCGAATCCCGGTGTGTGCACCTCGGGCATCCCAGTGCGGGGGGGTGTCAGAGGTCCACTGGTGATCCCCGATTGATCCTAGGGAAGGGTTACAGGCACGGCGGCCTGGGGGGTTATGGGCGCACTCACCCGCTACACAAACAAGCCCTTTTATCCCAGTGGTTAGTGGCTGGGATTCTGACAGCGTCTGCTAGCCACTGTTGTCACTGACCCGTCGTTTGAGTCTACTGCTGCGTCTGCTCTTGTCGCTGAGCTTGTTGACTTTGCTGCTGCCTGTCGTCTAGACTACGCCGCCAGTCTTGTTGCTGAGTCTGCGTCTGTCTGTCCTCCGTCCGTCGGGGGTGAGTGTGCTCTTAGCACGGACGTCCTTGAGGACAGGCAGGAGGAGTTCCAGTGTCTTGCTGCTGCTTTACCTCATCTTGTGTCCTCGCTACTTGCCCCTGAGGGAGACCCGGATGCACCAGACATCCCGACTCCGCGCTCTTACGCAGAGGCGATAGAGAGTCCCTACTCCTCTCAGTGGCAGGCAGCCATGGACGCAGAGATGGCTTCCTGGAAGTCCACAGGCACCTATGTCGACGAGGTTCCCCCACCTGGGGCGAACATCGTCAGTGGCATGTGGATTTTCAGGGTGAAGCGGCCGCCGGGTTCTCCGCCTGTCTTCAAGGCGCGTTACGTGGCTCGAGGCTTCAGTCAGCGAGAGGGAGTTGACTTCTTCCAGACCTTCTCCCCCACCCCGAAGATGACCACTCTTCGGGTGCTGCTGCACGTTGCTGCTCACCGTGACTACGAGCTTCACTCTCTTGACTTCAGCACTGCTTTCTTACAGGGCAGCCTGCACGAGGAGATCTGGCTGCGCCGCCCCCCGGGCTTCACTGGGTCGTTCCCTCCTGGCACCCAGTGGAGCCTCCGACGGCCG